AACTTACGTATCAGATATAATACAACACGGTAATTAATCGCTACTAAAATAATGTCTCGCAGCTCAGCACCTTTTCTTAATACTCCCCCACGTTCTCAAAATGCAAATAATAAACAAAAATCTTCCCAAGCAACTTCAAAAAATTCTATTGATCCGGCCCTGGTACATCTCTTTGGCAGGTTGGTTTTGACGCGTCCAAGTATCCGTTTTTTGGAAAAAGTCTGATATGGTTTCTGTTACTAATTCCGTCACAGGAAATCTTTTTTTCGACTATTATGAGAATTATGAGAATACCTTTTTAATTATATATATAGTTATTTATCTTTTCCCCTAAAAATATTATTATTCTTGCTTTTGGTATTCGTAGATCTTTCGGGACCATTCGTACAACTTTAATATTATCTGACGGTCAATGTCCGCCAAATGTTATGGATAAAATTTTAAATGATAATTTAAACTATTTACAACAAATGTTGGACGCCTACGATCAAAAGACTTTAACCGCTCCGCCAACACCGATAAATGATAAAGCTTTTGGTCTCTCCGAATCCTCTCTCTCCAACTTACTTCTACTCGATTCATCTGTTTGTAAAAATTTAATCCAAAGTTTTAAAGAAGAGAATGTTACTTGGGAACAATGGTGTAGTGATGAATTAAGAGAAAAGATAATTCAACATTATTTTGAAGAACGAATTAATGTTATCGAAATTTTATGCTATTTATTTTTCTTAGCATTAGACCCTGATAAAGTATATCATGAATTGGCAATAGAAATAATTCAGAATCACTTTTTAGATGATAATTTTAAAGATAAAATATTTGACCAATTTAAACGAAAATCTCAACAAGACGTTCCTCAAAACTTTTTGGATGCTGATTTAGCAACATTATGGGCAACTCAATCTGTAAAAGAGCAAAAAGTCTTATTAGATCTTTTGTTTTTACGATATGCTGTACAGTCCCCAGATCAGTCTTCTCATCTTTTATTATTAAAGTTCCTTAACCATTCCATTAGTACAAGATTTGGTCGTGATCAACCTACTGACAGATTCCTTGATTCAATTGGTAAAGAAATTGTATCTCAGGCTCACGACCTTAGTCAAATTTTGGTTATTATAATCCTATTTGTTGAATTTAATGTTGATATTATTTTACCTTCTGCTCCTTTGCGTTCTAAACGCCCCGCTTCACAACAAGATATCATGGCTATCAATGAAGTTGCGTTAAAAATGGGTGAAGATCAATCAAATGGAATTTTTTTATGGATTTGGTCTTCATATTTAACACATTTACAGACCTATTTTGACGAAACGAATTGGCCTTATACTTATCAAGACCTTGAGACGATTGTGGACAGTATAATTAGGGAATTTGGTATCAGAGCATTCAAACTTAACGTTATCAAATATATTCATCTTATCCTAACTGGTTCATGTTTTAGACCAGAAGAACCATATGTTACGGGTTACAAATTAGTATTTAAACATTTTTTCATGTCGATCTTTGAAGCTTACGAGGTTAATTATTTACCGGATTATGATGGTCTTGTGG